CAACAAATTAGGCAATGACAATGGGTTTTAAGTCTTAAAAGGGTCTGCCCAGTTCCACTCCTATAAATGTAAAGCTACTAAGTGCTCATGAGTTTTTGCTTCCTCCTCTCCCCAAGACACATATTTAACCACTAAGCTCCCTATTTTAAAGGGAATTCTGTGATTACAGATTCTCAAATTGGGAGTACTCATTTACATGAAATGCCCTTTTTGTTCATTACTTACCCAAAGGATCACTTCTGCTTTCCAGTTTGCATTTTGCTGAATAAAATTTTCTCAAGACAACCTTGAAAGATAAAAGTTTAGGAGCAGTTTGCAATTTCTAATCAAATACGCAATTAATATCTTCAAAACACTGTTAGACAAGCAGTTTACACCCCCACCCCTGATTCTGAAATTGCTAACACTGGCATTTGTCAGCTTTTCCCAAAATGTTATTCCTGACAATATCAAATGCATTCCTGTTCTTCTGCATCTCCTAAGGTAACACACCTTACACACTGAGTGGCACCTTTACCAACTCCTTGTGGTTGTAGCCTATGTCATGCTACCACATAAGATAAAGGTGTTCATTACTTGCATTTTAATGCTGATGCATCTTTACTCAGTTTTAAAATCCAGACTATTCTCCTGCCTGTCTATTTGAAAAGCTTCTATTATGTTAGCTCATATATGTTGATAGTGTTTTGCCTTCAGAGCTCCATACAAAAAACCAAAACTGACTGTAAATATTTCCTGAGGAGGAATGTTTGTTCCTTAATGAGTTAAGAGTAGACTCTTTCTTATACATTCACTGACAGACATGAGAATTTTAAAGCTCTCTCCTCTTTTTATCAGACTACAGGCTGCAGACCTCTAGTTTAGTGAGGAGAAAATAAGTATTTACAAAGATTGAGTATCTGTTAATGAGAGCAATAGTTTCACAAAGGGACCTGCTGCTCACAATTGTTGTTAGTACAGAACAGACTATCCTCATTTTTAGTCATCTATGGAAATACTTTTAGAGTTTTCTGACTTCCTTATGGGTAGTTAACAACAAATTGGTTACCTCATAGGCAGCACGGTCACCTGGGCAAATGACAAACTGCACTTCTCTCTTCTTGTTAGGATATACCCTGGCAAAAGTTAAAACTGCTTCTATCATGGTGTCTGCCACTGTGTCAACAGGCAGCTTTGGTGACCAATTTATTGGAAAAGACACTGAGGGACATGAGTATTCCTGAAAGTGACCCAGGCATCTTTTCACTGCATCCTTCAATTCCTGCAGGAAAAACAAAGTCTTTCAGTCCTCACATCACCCAACATGAGAATCCACCGAGATCCAAAGTAAGTGATCATCACCTCAAGCTGTAGCACCGGGTGCTGGCACTGCAATAGCACATGCAGGACAAATGTAGAGAGCAGCTGATGGGTTCCCATTATCAGGGGCTCCTTAAAACGTGTTAGATGTTTAAGATGATGATTAACTTCCTTCAGAAAAGCTGGATCCTCTTTTTCCAGCAGTCTTGAAGATTGAGAGGAAAGCCCATCCCTGGCATTCATGAGGTTAATAATAGCTGTATTCTGCAAGGAAAGAGTGTAAATTTCAGTGCACTACAAACTGACTATTTGCAAGCCTTGCTATTATAGAGAGCATTTTTTCTAAGCACAATTCCTGTACAGAGGCCTGACTGCCACAGATCAGCTGCTTGAATTTTCTTACTACTTACTGCTAGAGCACTGGAACACATCAAAGTGTGCACTTTGCAGTGGCAGTTCAGGAACCAACAGTGTGCACAAAGCTGTTCCAGTCATCAAGAGTGCACTGAACAGAATTATTACTCTCATATCTAAGTGACCCACGTGCCAGTTATCAGCAGGAGAGAACTATGGATGTGGCTGTCATCCCAGCCTTAGGGTAGCAAGGACACATCACCAAATAGCAGTGGCAGTACACATAAGGGAACTGCAAAGCTGTGATTGTTTCCAATACAAATTGTTTCCAATGGAAAAAGCAGATTCCCATTGTAGGTGCCCTGTATTTAAAATATCAAAACCACAAAAAACTTATTTACAGAATGCTGATAACAGCAGTAATTGTTCTAACCTTAACTGTTGAATATTATCTAAAGACACAAGAACATGTTTTCTTCATGGTCTTGAGGGCATGTGCATCTTTCAGTGCTATAGAATTGGTTAATAAAATTCCCTGCAAGGTCAATTTTGCAATCCTTTGTTCTTACACCAAAAACCCAAACTTCCTTTTAAATTATGACACTTCTTTAAAATAAAAATTTATTTATTTTTAAGATATAGTATTTGCTAAAAGTAAATGCCATTCCTGTGATGTACCTTGCAGTCTAAGAGCTCTGTTGAATTCCTATGACTGAGGTCATCTATTTTGCATCATATTTTCTAGCTAAAAAGTTAAACAATTCAAGTAATGCTCTATTTAAAGGTAAGGTGCACATCATCTGTGTATGTTATTTTCTGCTGTTTCAGTGTTTGCTGAATAATTCTAGTAATGGAGTTATAAGAACATAAATTATAGGAAAAAAAGCAGGGCAGGAAATAAGAGACTACTTCTATGGAGTACATTATAAAATGTAAACTTCTACATAATTAGAAGATAAACCTTAACAGAGATGAATTATTAAATCCTTCAATCTTTAGCTGCTTCCTGTTATAACAGCATATATACAAAAACAAAATAAAAACATTTCAAAGTTCAACACCCATTTAGACAAAAACCAACTCCTTGCTACTATGATTTAATTACCATGTGTAAATTCTCGTCAAACTGAGAAGAAAACCGTTTAGTGGACTGATACAACATGTGTTCTGAACTCTTGGGCTCCAAATCCTGCAAAGACTTGGGAGGCAGCACCATGTTCCACAAATGACAGGACAGACTCACCTTCAGATCTTCGGGGTGCTGTTCTATGATGCGCATGCGAATGTTTTGATGCACGAGGTGAGGTGAGCTTAGTGCAGCTGGCACAGTGTCTTCAAGTGAACTGGTGTCACCCAGAAACTCTTCACAGGCCTTCTTTATTGCTGCCACTGTAGACTCCTCAATGTTCACCAGGCGGATTTCCCTGAGACAGCCTGGTGGATTTGTCTCAACAAATTCCTTTACAGCCATTACAATCACTTTAGAACACAAATCAATTGGGAAGGCATAGATACCTGAACTCACTGCTGGGATAGCCACAGACTTTAAAGCTCTTCCTGGAGCACTGACACAACGCAGAACATTCAAAATAGCATTGTGAAGTAGATGACAACATCTTTCCTTTTCGCGAATATCCCACCTTGGACCAACTGCATGAATAATTATCTTACAAGGAAGCTTCCCTCCACCTGTAATTGCTATGTCACCAACTTTGACTTCTCCATAGCTATGAACATAAAGCTTGCTTTCCTTTTCTATTTCTGGCCCTCCAGCTTTTACAAGGGCAAGAGCAAGACCTGCTGCATGTTCCAGATACCCATTGGCTGCATTCACCACAGCATCGACCTTGTGTCTTGTGAGATCATCCTTATAAACACAAACGTCAATGCCCGATTTCACTTTTTTCCTGTATACTTCACCAGTGCTTTTTGCTGCTTTTCTGAAGGCCAACGTACAAGCAAACCTTTTGGAAACGAGATTATTTAGACAGTTTTCTCTTCTCTTAAGAGTTTCATAGGCATCTCTACTGATGGGCATCATCAAATTGACCTCATCCATTACGATGTTTGACCCTAGGATACAGAATATAAAGTGAAATAGAAGGTATTACTATCAAAACATTTATTTTTATCTAGAAGTGTGGTTTATAGCTCTCAATTTTATCCTACTATCATTGCTAAACAATATGTTTTACACACTCTAATATTTTCTCTCCCCTTTTCATAGGTTTAGAGAAGCCAAGGAGGTTCATTTAACTGTGCCACAGAAATCTTATACTGAGTTTTAATTCTGTGAGTCCATTAGTCTGCACTTAAAGCCCACAAGCAAATTCCTTCTTTGTATGGAACTTCGTATGAACTCAGAAAAGCTTTTAAAAGCACATTTTTAAGGAACAGTTTTTACAGTATAACTGTGGCTATAGAGCCCTCTCCTGGCAGATGTCAGCAGTACTATACTACAGCAGTTATGTTAATTAGTTTAAATCAACTTGTGTGAGTTTAGTTGAACTTTCCTCCGGGGTATACTACCTGCTTGTAAAAAGTCAGACGTTTTGCACTTATAAAGTATACATGCTGACTCATTAAAAGACTTCTGAGCTCTTGCTTTTAAAAGAGAAATGCAAGAAAGTCCTGTTGAAGTAATTAATAATAATGTTGATTCATAACCGTGTCTATTTCACATTAATTATGAATTTCAGGTTGCTTTTGGCTTTTGTTTTCCAGTTTGCTGGCAGTAGCTGTCAGTTTTCAACTTACATAAAAGTCCACATTCCGCAGATGGCAAAACGAGAGGCTTACCTAAAGCGGGCTTCCCTCTGAGGAAATCTGAAACGTAACTCTATTGTAACAAAAAGAGAAAAAAAGGAAAAGAGAAAGTAAATGTTACAAGCAATAAAGTACATGAGCTGCCTTCCTACAAGAGAGATTCTGTTGCAAATCAAACCAGCACCAGTTTTTCAAACATCTATACGAAGTTTTCTAGTGTTTAAAACGCTGCTGGGAGCTGCGGGAGCTCTGTGGGTGAAGTTGCCCTCAGATTCCTGCAGCTCCGGCTGACTCTCAGCAGTGCGAGGCCGGGCGGAGCCATTCCGGAGCGCCGGGCCACAAGACGGGACTGCTGCGTTTCCCTCAGCCCCGCCGGGGGCTCCCGCCGCACCCGGACCCCTGAGGCAGCCGCCGCCCCGGGCCCCTGTCCCCCTGCCCCGCTTCTCTACCTGGACGACCCCCATCTCGCTCAGGGCGGATCCGCAGCGCTCGGAGCTGCGGGCGGAGCGGCAAGCGAAAGCGAAAGCGAGCGGCGGAGCGGGAAGCGAAAGCGAAAGCGGCCGGCGGGGCGGTGTGGGATGATGGCGGCCGCGCCGCTGCTGGTGCGGGTGAGCCCTGCGCCCGCCGCCGCCGACAAGGCGATCTACAAGCTCCTGAAATACTTCCAGTCGGGAAAGCGGTCGGGGGGCGGCGAGTGCAGCGTGCGCCCGGGCCCCGAGGCCGGCACCTACTGGGTGGACTTCTCTAAGGAGCAAGGTACGGGCCGGGCGTGGGGGCGGCTGTGAGTGGACTGGAAATGGCTGCCAGGCACCATTTAGTGTCCCTGGGCAGGGCAGCTCTGGGGCCGCGGGTGATCATCACGTTTGCAGGTAACTTTATCAGTCTTTGTCCAAATTCAGAAAGGGTCTCATTAATGTATATAAATATCCTAAGGGCCTGCCAGACTTTTCGGTGGTAGCCAGCCACAGGACAAGGAGCAGAGGGCATAAACTAAAACACAAGAAATTTCACCTTAACATGAGGAGGAATTTCTTTACATCGAGGGTGGCAGAGCAGTAGGACAGGCTAGCCAGGAGGGTCGTGGCGTCTCTGTCTCTCGACACATTCCGGATGACCCTGCCTTGCTCCTGGAGTTGGGTGGGATGATCTCCAGAGGTTCCTTCCTGCCATAACAGTTCTGTGATTCTGTCATTCTGAAATTACCACAGATAGGAAGCGTGTGGAATCCCGCTCAAAGCACACCTTGGAATTGGATGCAAGATGCTGCGAGATCGTCATCCTGCCGGGAGAAGGGGCCCCGGGCAAGAGCCGGGTTACAGCGCACGCCGCTGCCAGCCACAGCAAAGGCACTGCCGGCCCTTCCCTGCCCCGGCAGCAGCAGCGGGACAGCGGTGCCTGTGGGGCCACAGCAAAGGAAGACCTTACCAAAAAGGTGCATCAGGAACAGCAATGTCACAACCTGCCCTGCTTGTAGTTCCATGAGTTCTTTATGTTGCACTTAAATATTTTGTGCCAAAAAAAAAGTCATTTATGTGATCTTAGATAATGAAATGGGGGCCAGGAGTGGCATTTGAGTGCTGGAGCAGAGGTCAATCTACACATGTTTACAGGCAGCATGGTTTCCAGCCTGACTCTGGCAGGTGCCAGCCACTATTCCCCAAAGCAGCACTCTGGCAGGTTTCAGGGGTAGTGTGCACCAAGGGCTGCTCTCAAAAGGTAGAAGAATAGTCTCAGATTTGGGTCCTTTCCACCTGCACCTACTCTTCCACCTACCTTTCACCTACTCTTTCCAGCTTTCCACCTACTCTTTCAACATGGTTTGCACCTTGAGGCAACCCTAATTATCTCCATCTCTTCAGCATTAAAAAAGTCTGCTGTGATGCAACATAGCACCACAAACATGATTTCAGACACTTTGAACTGAAAGTTACACAGAAAAGATCAGCTGTGTTTAGGGATATGGGATAGGGCAACATGGTGTGGATGTGGCTCTACCAAGACACTGATATCTGGCTCAGAGGGTTTTACCCTGTTTTGCTTGGTAACGTAGGTGTAGCTTTTGAAGTATAGCATGGGTTAACATAGTGTTTACCTGGCATCTATACTGCACATCTCCCTATCCTTCTGTCTGTGTGAAGTACAAAGGGAATGTGTTCATTATTATTTTTCAGAATCCTGTTTTCTGCCCTAACTCTTGGAGTTACTAAAGCATGACTTCTGGGAAAATTTTAAAGAAAGATAGTGAGTGAAAACTAGAGAGTCTAATATTAATAAGAACAATGAAATATAACTTACAAGTCATATTAAAACATGTTGTGTCTGTGTAACCTGGCTCTAAGGGGATAGACATTATTTTGGGTCACAGTCTCAGCCTAAATAGCAGAGTTGCTGTCTTTCCTCCTGCAGTGCTGGTGACATTAGGGCATTTCATTTTTGCTGCTGACTTAGAAGCAGATTTGTGCTATTTGCCTGTTTGTACTGTTAGTGTATGTGACATAAAAGAAATACTGTGTGCAAACTTGTTTGTAGTAATCTGGCACTACTGGGGTGGACAGAGCTTCTCCCTGCTGAAAATACAGAAGTAGCAAGCAGAGAACCTTAGACAAAACTAATGTTGATGTGTTCTTGTCTTTTCTGTAGATATTTCTTACAGTATCTGCTACTTTGAATACCAGTATGTTCACTGAAGACCAAAGGGAGAAAATTACCATTATGTGTCCAAACTTAAAGAGAGAAGGAAGCCCTGGCGTGGATGGCTCTGAGAAATTGACAGGAGATTTTACAGATATTGAAAAAGCTTATCACTACTTTGAAGATATCCTTGCAGGCAAAGACCCAAACCAGGATTTTTCACATTCTGATTGTAAGAATGGTTTGAAAGACGAAAATGGCCTGAATACTGAAGAAACAGTTGAGTTTATAGTTGTGACAGCTCTCTATGAATATTTTATTCATACCCACAAAGAGGAAATCAAAGAACTACACGAAAGGTTTGGAGCATGTATAAGAAGTAAAGATTTCAATGAGCATAACACATTCATATACATATCTTCCAATCAAAGTCCTGCATTGTTACAAGCAGCTAGTGATTCTTTTATCAGAACCTTCCAGGAAGCTACAAAAGATCTGACAGAGGAAAAAGTTCCCATAACTAAGATTGACACATTAGAAGAGACAATAGTAAAATTAAATAAAAAGTTTAGAAATCTTCTTGCTAAAGAGGAAGGGAATCAGTTGCTACTCCGAGGTCCAAGGAGTGAGATTTTAGCTGCCCAAATATTTCTAGCAGGGGAAGGTGAGAACAACCAAGCTGAAAAGAATATGAAAATATCATCTCAATGGTACAAATACAGGGATGGAATTGAAGTTGATGCCTCGGTATTTAAATTGTTGGAAACCATACTAAGGCAAGAAATTGAAAACATAAATGGCAAATTTGATACACTGGTAGAAATAAAAGAGAGGTCATACGGCCAGAAGGCCATAATATTTAGGCCTAAATCTGAAACTTCTGATATGTCATCACATGCTACTGAAAGTTTTATCAGTGCATTTCAGAGTGCCTCTGCACTGTTAAGAGAAAAAGGCATCAGCGTGAAGCTTTCAGAAGATCAGAAGAAAACTTTAAGTGTGCTGCCTAATGCTAAGAAATTTGAAGACCTTAATGTAAAACTTCAGAAGAATGAAGTTGCTGAAAAGTGCACGAAGTCCCTTCTTAACACTGAAGGGACACAAACTAGAAATAGGGCACCACTGTCCTCTGACCTCAGCTCTCAAGAAGCTACAGGAGCATCTAAGAAGTCCAGTGTTAGGAAAAAGAATAACCTTTCTTCTGAAGGACAGACTCAGGCAAAGACAGTAGAAAAAGAAGATGATGAATGTCCAATTTGCAGGGACAAAATTGAAAATAAAGAAATATTAGAAAAGTGCAAACATGCATTTTGCAAAGCTTGCATTGACAGAGCCATGGTTTATAAACAAGCTTGTCCAGTTTGTAACACTGTCTGTGGAGTCCTGACAGGAAACCAACCAGAGGGAACAATGTCAACTAAAACAATCAGTTCGTCTCTTCCTGGTTATCCCAACTGTGGCACCATTGAAATTGACTATTTTATGAGTGGTGGTATTCAAACTGTAAGTATGCTTAAATATTTCTTAAAGATATTTTTCCCACAACAAAACCAATATTGAGTACAAAATTAATTCTTTTCCCATTACTTGAATGCATGTTCAGGGAGGACATTTCTTTATTTTGTACAAATCTGCAAGTGTTTAATTCAATCTTTTTGGGCATGATTAAGTAAATACAGTAGGAATGAAATAGTCAGATGATCAGCCTCCGTTTTATATGCACCAGGACAGAGATACCTGTCTTTAATTTGTACAGTGGGAGTAACTGAACTGAAATCTATGCAGTGATATCATATAAGCAAAGTATAGTGAGAATTTCTGGGATGTTCTCTTTGCTGTGGACACCAATGGACAATAATGAATAGTGGGCTGGTTTGGTGAGAGCTTTCCAGGTGAGATCTCTCCTTATGTTATTTGCCTGGATTCGTGACTAGGACTGAGAATGGAGTAAATTAAAAAAGTCACAGGTGCAGCACCATGCATTTGGGAGAGAAAAGAGGGAAAACCAAATTTAAAACTAGCAATGGGTGCATGAGTGATGACAAGAAAGTGTGAATGACATTTATACGAAATAAAGTATCTAAAGAGAAAAAACTCAGAATTAGTTATCAGTCATGCTATGTCCTTCTGAATGATTTATGATATACAGTGTGGATTTGTTTTGTTTTTCTACAAAACAGAGCAGCCATCCAAACCCAGGGCAGCGTTATGGGCCTGCTCACCGAAAAGCGTATTTACCTGACAACGAGGAAGGGCGAGAAATTCTGCAGCTCCTCAGAAGGGCCTTTCAGCAGAAATTGATTTTCACAGTGGGGCAGTCACATACTACTGGTGCACAAAATGTTATCACATGGAATGATATTCACCACAAAACTGCCATTGATGGAGGACCTACCCAGTAAGTAGTCTTGTCTTTATGCAATACTGTTGTTCCTCAGATGTGTCAGGAAGACTGCCTTGAATATCTTCCACATTTAGAGCTTTCAGATTTTGTCACTAACAGAGTGATTGATTGTGGAATGCCCTATGGATCCAGTTGTTAACCACCTTCCCCTGTTTGGACAGTTGGAACAAGGATGAGCTTAGTGTTCTGCTGCCCCTCAGACTACTCATTCACCAATGAGTTTGTAAGGTACTTAGTTAACAACTGCTTTGATTAGAACCTACAGGACAAGCTTTTGATGACAACTAAGGTTGGATTCCTGATCTATGCCTCTCCTGTTACCTGCTGTTCTGCACCAGGAGGTGCTGGTCCATTATGATCCTGGTAAAGATGGCACTCATCATGTTGTAAAATGTGATTTGAAATTCTGCTTAACAGAGCTAACAGCAGGAAGTGAGACTGTAGTGCAGATATGGTCGTGTCCTTTTAGATGCTAGGAGCCAAGAGTTGTGCAGCACTTGGTGGGTCAGAGCACAGGACACAGTGCCAGCCCCAGCCATAAAAAGGGTTACCCCATTTTGGCCATTCAAGCTGTCAGAGGATTTTCTGAGTGAGTAGATGACTGCCCTATCCAGTATTTCTTGAGGATTTGCTGCACTTAAATGAAAGGAGCAATCACCAGGACAGTGTGAGCTGCCTGCAGCAGAGACAAGAGGGAATCTTGGACCAATCCTTTCAAGCTTGTTGCAACCTGTAAGGGGTAGGTGGTGTCTTGCAAGCTCTAAAGGCTCATGTCTAGATCCTCCTGACTGGGCTAGGATCATTAAAAGAGCAAAAAATACCAGTTTTTCTTTACCCTTCACTCTGTGCAAATCCTCTCTCTTGCTTATCACATGCTTCATATGCAGTTGTGGTGTTGCACTACTTCAAGTCTAGAGGTGCCATTGTCTTTCTCATTTGAAGGCTCACTTGGATATGCTTCAGGTCTGATTTTCTTTTTAAAAGATATATACCCAAACACCCTATCATTTTGAAGGGAGACCCCAGGCAGCTTTGAAAATCAAGTTCTTTGTATCAATTTGGACAACAAAAAGTAGCAGCTCCTTAAGTTTGTAGCTTTATGCTCTCTGTATTGTTTCTGTGACTGGCAGTATGGGTCTGTTTTCTCTCTAGGGCAAGAACTGCATAAAATTTGTGAAGAGATTTCTAAAAAGACTTTGATGAGATGGTTTTGTAGAATTGTCAAGTGCTTCATTACAGAAATAGCCCAAACAATTCTCCTTTTCTTCTCCTAGGTTTGGTTACCCAGATCCTTCTTATCTGCAGCGTGTTCGATCAGAATTGAAAGCAAAAGGAATTGAATAAGGAAATCTATCAACTCTCAATTCTTAAGTGCAATGACTGAACAAACATACAGCAGTTAATGTGCTATTCAAGCTCTGAGGGAAGTTGCTTTGTTTAACTACCTATCTAAATTGCTTGTATTTCACAGTTAGCTAAGAAAAGTAATCTTTTCTCATCAAACAATGTATGTTCTTTTCACAAATCATTTACTTCCTATATATGTAGCCTTTACAAAATTTGGTTCTTGGGAGTGTAGTATCAGTACTGTTTGCACTTTGTGTATCTTGCTGTACTAGCAAATCTAATTGGCCCTTTTCCCCACAACTCTCCAGTCTGATTTCCAAAACCCTTTAGATCCACTACTTTTATTAGATGAAACACTTCTCTTAGCTTTGCATTATGATGTCTGCCAGCATGGCTGGCATCATGTAACCTAATCTAATCTAAATCTAAAATTTGTATGCAAATTTGTATGCAAATATGTAATCTAATCTAAAATTTGTATGCAGCTGTGACAGTGTTAGCTGTGATAAGGTTATGGACTTTTGCTTCTTTTCACGGTAGAAATTGCCTTGGTGATTTGAGTTTTGCATGTGAAATTAGCCATGGGTCATGTACAAGTGGGTACATGGATGCTCAGCTCTGCAGAAGTGCTGAATGCTGAGAGCTGTGTTGGAGCTGTGGGAAGTAACAGTGTCTGTGTCCATATCTGACAGTGGGCTCCTGGTTCTGTGCCTGCCATTGTGCTTAACTACAACCTTAAAATCACTTTTTCAACTATAAAACTGTATTCTTTCAATTGCATCCAATATAGGTTTAAATTGTATCATAAAGATACTCTGCAGTGCCTAAATAACCTGATGATTACCTGTGTGGTGGTGTGTCACACAGACATGATTTTCAGTAAGTTGAACCATTTCTCTAAGGCTACTGAGGACAGCTAATAAAGAAAATACAAAAATACCATGTGTGTTTCTTCTGTAGGGGTTTTTCCTCCTTTTTGCAATACATATAGCTGTATATATTTTTTAGATTTAGGAGCTTCCCTGCAACACCATGTTTTGGGGCAGTTTGGACTCCATGCCACCCCCCTTTTTAAAAATGTATTACCTTGGGGTTTTTTTATTATTTTAAGATTCCCACACTGTGAATAGGCACTACAACTTTGCCACCTTGACTTTCAGATTTGGTAAGAATGGGCACCATTTGGTTTCCATGTGGGTTGGGATGTCTTTCCCGCCCTGGTTTTGTGTTACTGTATTTGTTTTAATATTTTACATTATTCCATGCAGTAAAATAGCAGAGGATGCAGTAAAATACCAACACTCCAGTTGTTTCTAAGTGACTGAGCTTTTCTGCACATGGAAACAAGCTGTCACTTGGGACAGTGCATTAGGAAATAACAGAAATAAGTTGCCCACCAAGAAACAAAGGCATCCCCATGAGTCATTCAGCAGAGTATCTGATGAGACCTAGGCTTCATCCTAGCTGGATGCTTATAATTTTTAGATACATTTATGTGTCCATTTCTTAAATGAATGTTCAGTGGAATGAGGGGGGGAAACTTCATGTATCTGCTATTTTAGTGTCCCATATTTGGCCACAAGGATAAAATATACAGCACAAAAAGTTTGTTTGAAAACAAACCTTTGCAAGAGAAAGTCCTGAGCACTCAGTTGAAAACTTCTCAGCTACCTGAAAAGTTGGTCTGAAGTAAAGAGCCATTGCAACCTTCCAAGGTTGTGGAAGCATCTCTGGCAAAGAATGATGGAAGTGGTAATTTTACTTTGCATCATAACTTCATTTGAAGGGGTAAGGGAGGGAGAGCGAGTATTAGCCAGTGGGTAAGCAGTGTAAGTTCAGGGGCTGCAAACACTGTGACGCTTGGTTCTTGTGCGGCTCTGTGGAGGCGCCGGGGGCGGTGAGAGGCCTGTCCTGCCCCGTGGGGAGGCGCGGCGGAGCCCGGGACCCCCGGCCGTCCCGATGGGCCCGGAGGCGGAGGCGGGTTCCCGGCCCTGGGCGGAGCCCCAGGCGTCTCGGGCTCCGAGAATCGAAAGCGAAAGGGACGGGAGAGGAGCGGCCGGGCAGCCATGGAGGGGCAGCGGCCGTGCTCCTTCCCGCTGCTGGTGCGGGGGGACTGGGGCCCCGCCGAGCCGCCGCCCTCGCTCAGGAAGAAGCTGCTCTGCTACTTCCAGAGCCAGAAGCGCTCGGGCGGCGGCGAGTGCGAGCTGCGGACCGGGACCGACAGCGGGACCATCCTCGTCTGCTTCGCCCGGCCCGAGGGTGAGCGGCCGGGCCGGGCCGGGGCCGGGGGGCTGATGGCGATGCCCGCGGGCGGACGGGCGGGGGGCGGCCGCACCCCCTGACCGGTGCCTGCTCTGTTGGCAGTGAGGGAGCGGGTGCTGAGGCGGCCGGCCCACGAGCTGGTGTGGGGGTCCGGAGAGCGGCTGTCGCTGCAGGTCACCGCGCTGCCGGCGGACGGCGACCCCGCGCAGGTGAGGCGGGCGCGGCTCCGGGCGGGCGGGGTGGCCGCTGGGGACCGCTGGTGACCGCTCTCCTCTCGTGCCCTTGCAGGAGGCGGGTCCGGCCGGCGGGACCCAGGCGCCAGGTAGGGGCTGCGGGGGCTCCGGGGCTGGCGGGGGCTCCGGGGCTGGCGGGCACCGGCCCGGCGAGCCCTGCGGGGCAGCGGGCGTGGGGAAGCAGCGGAGCCGCTGCTTGGCCGGGCCGGCCGAACGGCGCTGTAGCGCTTTGGTTCTTCTCCCCGGCGCTCCCCTTCACTTCCCGAATCCCAAACACCATGAAGTTCCTGAGGTGCCACAGTCCCCGAGCCACATCCCAGGGACCGGACAGACCGACCACGCTATCACGGCTAATACACATACGCTGCATAATCAATACACGCACAGCTGCTCAATACACATCTGGCTAATACACACACGTAGGACTAAGCAATACACACGCATGGCCAATACACAGCTAATCAGTGTGTGACTGCCGGTACACACAGAAGTAATCCATACTCACAGGGATAATACACAGCTCGCTGAGCTCTGCTTTCAGGGTACCTGCTTGTGCATAGCGGGGTGACTCTGCAGGTGAGGGCTGAGGGCGCATGCTGCAAAAGCGGTCTGGTCAATCTTACCATTGTCCTTTGTTTTCTAATGCACCTGCATTTCCTCTTGTTCTAAACTAGGAAGTTGCGTGGTTATGCTGGGTCAAACACATCCTGACAGAGTCTCTTCCAGAGGTCTCAGGTTTCAAAGGCGCTTCCCTCCCAAGGGCTGAAGTCCTCAGCATTTCTTATGTCCAGTGCAGCTCTTTGTGTGAGGAAAGTGCTGTACTGCGTGGCAGGACCTGCTCCTGGTGGTTCGTGCAGCACAACTCTGTGCTGACATTATGCCCGAAGCGTCTTGAGCTCAGCATCTTTCTGTAACCAATTCAACTTTTGGCTTAAAAATAGAGATATCTGTGGAAATCTGTGATTCTGACAGTGTCAAATGAAAATTCAAACTGTGTTAGCTCCTAGGTGTACATTAATGTGTCCGTTTTCTTCTTGAAGTACCCAGCAACTGAGAAACTGTTGTCATTTATCTCTAGTTAATGAACCCCAGGTGTCTCTTCCCATCTGTCAGAATCAGGAAACCCCTGTGTGTACTCAGCAGGAGAAGACAGGTAAGTGTGTCACTTACCTGGTGGTGACTGTTGTATTCTTGCTCCTTTGGTTTGCTGGACCTTTCTGCTGCAGCAGTGCCCTGGTCAGCCTCGTGGCTTGTGTTGTTTGTCTAATGTAGTATAGTAGTTGTGATTGGAGCTAAAAGAAATAAATGTATTTTTTCCTTTCTGTGAGTCCCTTTAGAGCCCCCACTTCACTGTGTGCCTCAGACAGGTCACTTCCTTTGGGGACAGCAGTGAATGCTGGCCTTTGCTCTGGCTGAGGCTGTCCCTACCCAGACCTTCCCAGCTGCTGCCAGCCTTGCTGGGGCCGCCCTGTGCCAGAGCATCGGGAGCTGTGTACCCCAGGTACACCTGAGCAGCCGTGGCAGCCAGCAGGTATCAAACCCAGGTGACCCACAGCTGTGTCTGAACTGTGAATGGGGAGCTCTGCTTCCCCTCATTGCATGTTTGTGGAGAAGCTTTTGTATCTTTTGCTTCTGCTGTCCTTTCCTGGTGATGAACTGAAGCATTTCCTCCCTATGTGTTGATGCGGCAACTCCTGCTAGTCATCTGCTTAACTTCTTTGGGATTCTTACCCTGTTCTTTTCCCTGACCCTGAGTGTGATCTGAACAAAAAGTGGTGTGAAAGCTTGGGAGGTGGGAAGCTTGGTTTTCTTTTTAACTTTTGCCTAAGGCATTAGGGTGTGATCTTTTATTTCAGAATCATGTGAGAAATTGGAAGCAGAGAAAGCAACCTCTAGGAATTCTGCGGTAGTAGTAACCACTGCCTTTGGGAAGGAAATAGAACATGAGATTTTGGAAATGTACTTTGAAAGTAAAAGGAGGTCTGGTGGGGGGCCCATTAAGTCCTATGTCAAAAAGGATGACCAAGTGATCATCACCTTTCAGGAAGAGCAAGGTATGTTACACTGCTTAAGCTCTCTTTTAAAAATAGGCCTTTGCTGGTGCAGGATCTCTCTGTGGGCATTGCTCCAAGCAGAAATGGTATATTATTGCTATTGATTAACATGCTACTCTGCTGTGACATCTCTGTTTTTCTGTGGGACCAGATGCCCAAGAAGTTTTACAAAGAAAGCATCACTTGAGTAAAATTGATCTGGTTGTGAAGCCATGGCAAGTGGCAACTTCCCAGGAGTCTTGCCAAGTGGAGAACTCCGAAGGATCCCTGCTTCCCACTGCAGTTGTGCTGGAAAATGTGAAGGACACAATCAAAGATTGCATGTTAATTTTACTGGTAGAGAATGTCAGTGGCTTGTCAGAGGAGGATGGTGACTTCAGTGTGGAAATGATACCTGAGTTATGTGCTGCTGTAGTTACTTTCACTGGAAATACTGGTAAGAAGGAGTCAGAGTTGAAGCTCTTTTTATTAGGTACCTGTTTGTATGCGTGTGTGTGAGTGAGATTAAACTGGAAGTATTATCTTTTGTATTTTTAAGGTTTGATCTGATATTGTGTCCTTTTAAAGGAGGATTTACTTCACTTAAATTAATGCCATAACCTTTATCTGTGAGCTAGAGAGGCCAGTGCAAGTCAGAAAGAGAGCTAGCTCTGGTTTTGATAGTAAACACAACAGGTACTACTAAAACCAAACTATTACTTAAAACAAGCAATAAAGGATGTACTTGGTCTGAGAACAGAACAATGGTAAACCTGTCCTTGCCAAAAGCTGTCCTTCAGAGAAGGTGTAGGTTTTTCTGCCTTAGAAATGATTTGTCTCTCAAGTCATGCTCCAGCCCTAAATTTTTGGGGTAGCCTTTAGGAAATAAGGATCCTTAAGAAACTTAATTGTTTCTCCTTGGCAGACGGAAAAGTGATTTGACTGTCTTTTATTGTGAGAATAACAGGGGGAAATAGCCAAAATGAGAATGTATTTATCATAAAATGGAGAGAATTTGAATTCTTACCTTGTGTCTTATTAGTAGTGTATGAAGCCATAGCCTAAAAATGAACCTGATGTTGTTTTCTGCTGGAGCTAAAGAACCCAGTGACAGTCAGTAGGAAAACCAATGGCAAATTCCAGCTGCAGTCATTGTAGTCAACAATTGTAATCAACCATGAGGGGAATACTGGGTGACAGATACTGAATATGTGGAAAGAGGTATCTTTGTGGGCAGCTCTGGACTGATTTTGTAATTCAGTGCTTTGATCAGTGTACAGAGTGATAGTCTGCTAACATCATGGCAGAAAAACACGCTCCAAGTTTGATCTTTTCTTTTTTCTTCTCCTTTCTCTTTCTAGATGCAGAGGAATTTGTTGA